CTATAGTTCAGGAATACATTTATGTATCATTGAAGTTTCTGTTGCATAGAAAAAATATCATTTAGAATGAAAAATAACGTAATCATTCTCGATTATCAAGGGTAAACGTTATTAATTGAAAATTTATTGTATAAACTCCAGTGAATGAGACAGTCAAAGTTGTTCGATATCCATTTATCAAGTACGTTGAATTGCTTTTTAAGACCGTGACTTCAAAACGTGGGATATTTGCGTAATACTTCACTATAAATAATAGTTCTCAGGAGACGCAATGTTTGCGAACTGACCATATTCATTCAATTCACAGCGAATTCAAAGAGAAAAAATKAGCTGAAGATTATAATACAGAAAAGCAGGACTGATGTCATGTATACAGACCCTTGCCTTTCCATGAAGTCGACAACAACTGAGCTTTTTTTTTCAATTTGCAATTAAAGATTCCATTAGCTAGTCTTTGTATAAAAGTAACAATTGTCCTCAAGGCAAAGGRATTAAAATTCTGAATGGAAACAAGAATTCGGATGAATAGTGACTGAATAATTGCGATTGTGTTTCAGATATCGACTGATGGGAATCTGCTGGTCGGCAGATCCTAAAAAGCGTCCAACGTTTTCTCAACTCTGCAAACTACTAGATGTTCTGAAAACTGAACAAAAGGTACTGTACCGAAGATAACTTAAAAGATTTTATTATTAATTATTATTGTCAGCAAATTTGTTTTGAAAGCCTGCGTAGCATATCCATGTCTCTTGATAAAAATACAAATATTCAAATAGCTGCAAATGTTTAATGTATCTAAAGAAGCCTTGGCTGCTATGTGTAGCTAGTAAGTAATTGATCCGAGCTTTCGCTGTCTACAGCATCGTCAGGAAAACTCAGGTATATCGAATTCCCTGACGATGTTGTAGACATCGAAAGCTCGGATTCAATTTCTCCCTACCTATAAATAACAGCAATTGCGCACGCTGTAATGATACGTGCATATATAATTAGTTCAGTTGATTGACAGTTTCACATGTAATATTTGTCATATGTAAATTAGTTCGTTAGTTCGCTCGCTAACCTACATCATGTGTACATGTTGAGTTAAATAAACTACAATCTACCACAGAAGAGTCAATTTACACACGCTTCATTAGATACAATCCCAAATACTTTTGTGAACCTTATACGTGAACAGATACGATCAATCGAGTATAAACGTCAGTTTGAGAGTAAACATTTTTTTGTGAGAAATTAATTTGACCATTGTTTTCTTTCTTTTCCAAACACCGTAGCCATAGGGATCAACAACAATTTGGCCAGGAAAAYTACGAATACCACCTGTTGGCCTTTCATAAATAAATCGAGCATTATCTAACAACCTTCTTTTTTCTATATTTAGCAAGAAGAACACCGACTAAGCAGTGCTAATTCATTGACAAAGAAAACAGTTGGGTTAAAATTAGAATCTCCAGGAGAATCCTTCAATTCAGCAATGTGAATATTATGGTTCCTTGGAAATATCCAACATTCATGATCTTACACTTTGTACCATGTCACTTCACACCATGTCAAAACATTGCAACATCAATTGTAATTATATATAGAAATTCTAACTTATTCAATCGTAACTTAGTATTGCTGAAACGCCCTAATAGTAAATTTAACCTATTTTTGCTAAAACGGTCTAAGGGCTGTACTTAATTGCTCTTCATACAGACGCCGTATTTGGAAATGCTGCATATCTTAAAAGGATAGTTATAATACATCATGCTACAATATTGTTATATATGTATTATATATTGTTGAGATATCATCACATTGAAAATAAAAATGCTATGTTTGCTTTGTATCAAACAGTTTTGCTTGATGGAAAAGTAGCGATTTTGATAACAAGCTAGATGGATATACAACGGGGTATGAGTGTGCTGAATTAGATTCGAGCGTAGGCGTTCTATTGCCCGTTCCGAAATTTAAAAAGGGTCTGGTGACAAAATCAATACCTTTTGAAGCAATCAAAAAACAGATACCAAGACAAGAAAGAGCATAGTAAAAATAGTATTTGCTGAGTTTGATCGTATTCGGATTAATATTTACAGAGTTACAAGCCTTTAAAACTCGAAATAAGTTACAAAGAATGTATGGAGGATTTGAGCAGCGTCCCCAAAAACCATACATTCTCTCTTATTTTTACAAATTTGAAAAAAATTCCTATTCGGTGAATAATAGTTTCAAACTTGGCAAGGACACTAATCGTAGTGTGGTCTTTNAAACGCTAATGATTTACGTGTCTACATTAGGTGACATTTTAGGGCCGTCTGTGAWCGCAYGATTAGCCAAATTTATCATTGAATTATTCATGTTYGSCTATAAAGGAAGGAGTTGCTTCCACGTATATCAGTCAGTTTGGGGACCACGAACGAATTGACATCAAGATGAAGTACAGTCTTCTTTTGCTDCTTGTTTTTGGCTTTGTTGCCTTCACCTTTGCTGCTCCTGCAGCTGAGGAGGAGAACGAAGACGAGCCTGAYCCAAAGGCCATCGAAGAAGACCCTGGTACGTAACATTCTCACAAATAGTGAATTTAGTTAATGCATCTGAAACTTCGTTATTTCAGTTAAAATTAAGGAGATTTAATCGTTGAAGATAAGAAAAAAATGTATGTTTTTGWTACATCGAGGATGTCGGATTACTTGGCCATTGGGATGCACACCCACTAAAAAAGGTTTTGATAGCGCATGGTCTATTATAATTATTACTTGGCGTTTTGGTCTTCCTTGAAACCCTTAATCATGCTGAAAATAGTCTATCGACACATTTTTACTTTGGTGATCTGCTATGCTTGCGTAATTCACATCTGCTTTACATCTCGCTGAAATATTTTGTCCTGCTCATCCTTATCCAATGCATATGCGGCCTAAACATACTTTTTGACGCCTATCTGTGAAAAGATTGGAAATAAATTGCCTTTTTTTGCAGAGGAAACAGAAAATGATGTGGCCAAGTTTGAAAACGACGAAGATGAAAATGCACCGAGTGGTAAATATTTTGTCATAAACTTGGAACTCGTATAATGATTATTGTCATAGTTTGTCTGCATGGATTTTAAATTGTGCGATAAYAGATTAGATGGTAAACTAAATTACATAACAAAAGATTGTCGCCCTCTTTGGAAAAGGAATCCATAGTTTTCCATAGTAATCCATTAKAATTTTTAATAATTCATATGAGTTTCCCAGGCTCATGTTTGCAGTCTTGTKTCATCTATGAAGAATCTAGCGATCATAAGTTGACGTTTATGTATATGTGCGCTTTAATTTCTACGTCATTCTTTCCAGACGAAACAGAAAATGAGGTGGCCATGCCTGAGAACGATGAAGCTGAAAAGCCAAAGAGCGGTAAGTTTAATAAATGAATTCGGACCTAGGACTATATTTGAAGAATAGCAACTTTAGTTGAGGATAACTGCAATACCTATTTTGACAGTTTAAAGTTCGCGCACGCTGTTTCAATTGACAACAGACTCACTTGCACAGCTCCTTACCAAAAGCTAAAGAATGCACAAAAAATGCTATCATTTACAATAGCCTTACAAATTTGCATTATCTCGCATTAAAGCTTAGTCTGTATTCTCAGACGGCATAAACTCTGGGTGTTGCAATACAGGTTTAGCCTCAAATCGGAGTAGATTCAAATTTCTAGAGATATTGATACAAGGCATATTAAACTGAATATGTATTGATTTGAAATAACAGATCCAATCTTGTGGCGTCGCCGTCGTCGCCGCCGCCGTCGCCGCCGATGCTACCGCCGCTGCTACCGTCGTAGAAGATGCCACTTCTACCCATGTCGTCGTTGCAGACGATACGGACGATACAGACGTTGCTACTATAGAAGGTGTCATAGGTGCTACTATCGGCGTTATTGCCGTAGAACTTGCCGCGGATAAATGCCATTACTGACCTGATGCTACGGAAAGATCAAAAACGATTATGACGCGAAAAACATGAAAAAAGCATGGATAAAATATAACGCTTGAGCTTAAAAAACTGTGAAAAAAGGCCAGTCGTAATGCATTTTCGTATCTTTGAGCTATTTTCATTCCTTAGTGAAATTGAGAACAATAACGAACGAAAAAAAGTATGAACACTTGCCGAGATTATCGTTAACTACGTAATAT